TATTCACTGCAGGTGGGATCCCACAGGAGCTCTCTGCCTGCAGCTGCTGTGACCAGCCCTAAGCAACACCCATCCCTCCCAGGTTCCATCAAAATCCATAATCCAAGACCAAAAATCAAGGCTTACGATTCCTTTTCTTGAACGACATGAAACGATCTGTTTCTTTAGGAAACGGGCCCCAGAAATCCCTGAAAATTCAGTGTTTTGCTCAAGATCCCAGCGCTCCTAGCAGGGATCTGAATCTCCTCCCTCTCATCTCAGCATTCCAGCCACAGAATCCTCATTCCTGCGTGGAAAATCAATCGGGAACAAGTGTTTTCAGGCTGCTCTTCGCACATCCCTGCACCAGGGAATCCCTTGGAGAAGCACCCGAGCCCTGCACGTGGAGCCAGTTCAAGGAAATAACAATGTTATAACCAAGGAGCTGTTCCTGCTTTGCTCCACTGCTCCTTTTAGGAGCAAAACACCAAGGTCTTGTGCCCTGGGATCCACCCCAGCCCAGCTGCAGCTCCTGACTCTGCTCGCCCTGCTCCCTCCGAGCAGAGGATAAAAATAACAGCAAACCTCCCACTCACTTTTGGGAGCCAAGCCCTGCTCGTCATCCCCAGTCTTCCAGCCCTTGGAGAGGGAGGAGCGTGGAGGAGCCCAGTTTGCCCCAGGCTCTCAGCTCCTGGGTTGGATTCCTGGTGGGAAACCAGCCTTGGAAGTGCTGAAACTCTGGCCCTGACTCACGTGGCAGTTCAGCTGCCATTGGGGAAGGGTTAAAAGGCACCCGTGCCTTGCTTTAAAAATTAAATCCTTGCTGTCCCACTGACTTCCAGGGGAAACAGCTGGACCCAAACCCAGATTTTTAGATCCTCAGTGTGTTCCTGAGATAACACAGCCTGCCATGGTGCTGAAATGGTGTTAACTGAGCCCAGTTTGCCCCAGGCTCTCAGCTCCTGGGTTGGATTCAACCCATTCCTGGTGGGAAACCAGCCTTGGAAGCGCTGAAACTCTGCCAGGGCAGCTCTCTGCTCACGTGGCAGTTCAGCAATCCCACTCTGCCAGTGGGGAAAGGGTTAAATGCACCCAGCTGGACCCAAACCACAGATTTTTAGATCCCCAGCATGTTCCTGAGGTAACACAGCCTGCCATGGTGCTGAAATGGTGTGAACTCCGAGCCCGGTGTGCTCCTGCCATGACTAAGGCAGCGACACTCCTAAAGCTCTCATTCCCATCCCTTCATCCAACATCCTGCTGTGTCAGCTGCAGGCAGTGCTTGCTGCCAGCCCCACTCATCCCCGAGTGAGGGATAAATACCTGGGAAGTGCTCCACGAGGTGCTGCCAGCTCAGCCTCCTGCAGGGATTGTCATTCCCACGCTCTCCTGGGATGCAGCTCCGGGAAAGTTCAGACCAAACCTGCATCTCCACTGGGTGTTTGTCTTCTAGAACCACCCGTGGAGCTCAGCAGGAATCCACTGGAGAACGATGCTGTGGAAGGACCCAGGAACCTTAATTTTAATCCTAAAACATAATTAATCCTAAAGCTTTGGTGATTTCAACTTGCTTCTCTTATTTAGCTCCTTGGACGGTGTGACCTGGAATAGAGGAATGTTGAATCCAAAGCCAGTTCTATCTGACTGCCCCTAAAATCAGTGACATTTAGACAGTTCTCTGTCCCAAGAGAGTTCCAGGATGTCTTTCACCCATTTTTAAAGAAGGCACTTCCTGATACTGGCCTGAAAAAAAATCCAGTCATTTATGAGCGTTGGTTTTGTTGAGAAACCAAACAAAGAAAAACAGTGTTTGCAACAAATGAGGGCTGGAATAAATGCTGAATGTTTGTCTCTCCCCCCCACCCCTCTTTTGTGTCCTTATCTGCCCACAAATGTAAATTTGCTGGTTCTTTTTCTGGCTCGTGGGCTGATGTCCTTTGAACCACACACAAGCTTTGCAGGTGGAATAATATTTCTCCACAAGAAATATTAAGAAATATTAAGCTGCAAAGAATGAAATTCCCTCCCTGTGCCAGTCCATTCAGAGGGGCTCAAAGCAGGCAGATGGGTGTGTAGCGTGGTTCAATTAATTTACAAACAGCTTTCGAATTATCCTGGTTTTTCTATCACAACCATTTAGTTTTCCCCTCAGCCAGTCATAAGAAATGGGACTGCCAGAATCTGGTTTCTGCCATAAGGCACTTCCAAATTATTTAGGTTTTATGGGGGCACGATAAGAGAGGAATAACTGTGTTTTGAGGTGAAGTTTTGGGGTGAAATTTTGGGGTGAAATTCTCTTTCGGGAGGCGAAAACGCAACCGGGGAATGACACGGAAAACAACAGGTTATGGGGAGTGATTAAAACCCCCCCTAAAAACTAGAATTTACCAGCGAGCAGAGGGTCAGGGAAGAGGAATAACAACCCATTTCTCCCAGGCAGGTGTCCCTTATCAGGAGCATTCCAGCCTGCCCTGTTTGTCACAGGAACCGGCCGGAGCGGGAGCGCTCGGAGCCAGGGAATGATTCAGTGGGGCTGGGGAAGGGCAGGTGGAGCAGGTAAAGTCACCTCCAGACAGGAAGGTATAAAAGATCCCTGGATTGCAGCTCTGGGGCCACTCGTGCACACGGAGCTCCTGGAGGTCACTTGTCCTGCCAGGAAAAACCACCCGGAGCTGGGACACCAAGAGGACACTTTTATAAACACAAAAAAAAAGCCCCTCTGGAGAGAAGACTCTTCAGGGGTAGAAATCAAGAGCCCAGAACATGCTTTCCTCCTTCTAACAGCACCCTGAACAGGTATTTATTGACTTTAATCTGTTCCACACCTCTTGCCTTGCTGGGGGTTCATTGCTCTGAGTTAAAGATCCCATCAGGGGACCATCAGAACAGTGCTGGCCACTGGCCTGATGGAGCAGAACCCTTGTGATCTCCTTGGTTTTATGGGGTAGAAAGAAGTTTTCTAGAACTTGTAAGAAGTCCTGAATGACTTAGTTTTATTTATTTACTTAGCTGTATTTATTTAGTCAGTTTTATTTATTTACTTACTTGTATTTATTTACTTTGGTTTATTTATTTATTTGCTGAGTTGATGTGTTTCTTCTCATTGTTTACTGGTGTTCCTGAAGTTTCTGGAAAGCCCAGGTAAAAATATTTGATAATAAGAGACAAATAGCAGCAGGGTCTGGGAGAGACCGTGGGGGTCTGAATGAAGAAAAAAAAACCATCAGAAAACCAAACAAAAACCCCCAAACCCCAACCAATTCTGTTAAAAAGACACAAGCAGAGGGGGGAGGCTGAGCATGAATCCAACCTGTCTCGTGCCTCAGCTCTGTTCCCTACTCTTTGTGTCTCCCCAGTTTAATTCAATTATCTGTGTGATTACCTGAGCCAGGTGCCAACATAACACCGAGGTGTCGATATAAAATAACCAGCCTCTAAATTTATTAAAACCAAGGCACATCCACAGCGTCACAACCCTGCTCAGGGAAGTTAAAACGCAGGCAAGGACTTGTCCCTTCGTTTAAAAGCAGCTGCTGTGAGTAAACTTCAAGTTTACTATCAGGATGTTGCTCTGACAGGTTACAGAGCAGTAAAAAAAAAACCAACCCTCAACAGAGCAGCTTTAATTTCATAACACGGGTTGTGAAATCGCAGCTTGTGCAAGCCCAGGCTCTCTCTTTCTGAGGTTACCTCCTGCCACTGGTTTTACTGCTCAGAATCGCTGAGAAACACTCAGGAACTGCAGAGAACTGGATTGTAGAGGATGGAGTTCTGCAAAACAGAAATTTAGTAAAAAAAAAACCAACCAAAACCAACAAAAAAAAAAAAAAAACAAAATAAAGAAACCCAGGGGTTTTTCCTCGTCTCTGTGCCAGCTTAGGCTTGGATTTGTGATTCATCAGCATCTGCCAGGTTGTGTTAAACATGCACGGGGATCTGGAGCCAGGAAATAAAAAAATGACATTAGAAACCATTCCAACTCGCTGCAAAGTGCACAAAATTTGACTTGAGGAGAAGCTTCACCAAAGTTAACGTTTAGATTAAGAGAAGGAAAAGAAGGGAGGTTCTGAAGGCTGGTTTCAGCTCTGGCAATGCCAGCTGTGAGGGGAGAGGGGAGAATTCTCCATCCTGAAATAATGGAGATTTATTTTAGTGCAACGTGAGGAACACTTGGTCCTTCTGATCCCTTAAATTACCCTTTTTGTGGCTCTGGTCCACACACTGGGCTGCAGAGCTGTAATTACAGCACCAACCTGGACATTTCTGGCTCGTCATCAGCAAATCTCCCATCAAGGGAGAATCAAGCCCGGCTGGTTGGGTGACACATCCCAAAAAAATGTTCCTGTCACCAGGAATTTCCTCCAGCCAAACGTTTGCTTTCGGGTAAAGCCACTCAGCAGCTGCAAAGCTGAGCGGGGCTGTAGGTGAGGCTGCGAGTTTGGGGTAAAACAACCTGAGCTGAAGGTGCTGCCGAGGTGGGTGAAAAAAATCGGAGTCATTTGTAAACCAGTTTGCTGGAATTGGTGCCTCAGCCACTCCAGGCTCCTCCAGGGAGCACAGGGCAGCAAGGCTTTGCTGCTGAGCCTCCTCCTCCAGGGCTGAGCTGTGTGTCCTTAGGGAAACCAGAGCAACAAGGAAGCAGCAGAGAATTGCCCCTGCTCTGCCCCCAAGGCCATTTCCTCCAGCCTTGCCCGTCCTGCTGTGTCACGGTGACGGGGCCAGAGGTGCTGCTGGAGGCTGAGGATGGAACAGACGGTGCCATAAAACCATTTCCTCCCCTCCCTCGGCTTCTCCCGTGACACGGGGGAGTTCAGATCCCGCTGTGGATGGAGATAACCTCGGGTGGTGCCTCACCCACCTGCAGCAGGACCACAGATCAAGGCACGAAGCGCCCCAAAGAGGCTCCCCCCCGTTTCCCTCCACGCCTGAACAGTGTTATCTGTCTCTTAGGCCTTGCTCTTGCTGCCACCATAACCCCTGAGGGCCTCCCAGACTAATAGATTGCCAGGGCGAGGCCCCTCATGGAGTCTTCTGCTCTCCTCCCTGCTCAGGTGTCGGGGAGCACCACCCGGGGTAGGTCCGTGTCGTGTCTCTTGGCGCCCAGAGGGAGGAATTCAGGGGGAAGGACTGCTCCCCTCTGGGATCCGTGGTGTCCTGCTGCAAAAGGCTTTGGCTCCTGGGGGATCTCTGCGGGTTCCTTGCTTCTGTGTGCAGGATTTTTGACTTCACCTTCGGGATGCAGCTTCCCACAGGCTCCCTTGTGTGCTTCTCGCCTCTGGATGCAGTGGAAGCCACCAACTGGCTCTTTGTTCCTTTGAAGGGGTTAAAGCTGGTGACGGGGGTGTCTCCACCTTGTTTAAAATGAAGGCTTGTGGTTTTCCTCTCTTCCAGAGGCTCCCAGGGCTCTGTTTCTCTCCCGGGGCTCCGTCATGTCGTGCTTCTCCCAGCTGTGGCATTCCAGCACTCCGGACTCTCCCACCAGCCCGACCCCTGCCTCTCCTGGTGAAGTCCCCATCCCCATCAGCCCCATCGTGGTGACCTCCCCAGGAGATGGCAAGAGGAAGGCCAGATCCCCCACCAGCTCCCCGGGCTCGCCCAACCCGACCTCTCCCAAGCCCACCTCCCCCGTGGAGTGCTCCATCTGCTTCAACACCTACGACAACACCTTCAAGACCCCCAAACTGCTCCAGTGCTCCCACGTTTTCTGCCTGGAATGCGTGGCCCGCCTGAGCACGGGGCTGCCCCCCAACCAGCCCGAGGACCTGCTGCCCTGCCCCTTCTGCAGGCAGCTCACCAACATCCCCCAGGAAGGCGCTCCCGCCCTGGAGACCAGCAAGGAGCTGCTGGCCACGCTGCCCCCGGAGCTGCAGCGGGAGAAGGTGCTGTGGATGGAGGGCACCAAGCTGTGCTGCCGGAGGGCCTCGGACGACGCCGAGAACCCGGAGTCCTGCATCTCCATCGACGTGGCCATGAGCAAGCCCGAGAGCCCCGAGGCGCCGCCGAGGGGGCTGGCGGGGAGGTTGTCCCGCTGCGAGGTGTGCGACGACTGGAAGCGCATCCTCCTCCTCTCCGCCCTCGTCATCATCCTCTTCTGCATCATCCTCTGGCCGGTGCAGTGCGCCCTGAAGACGGGCAACATGCGCTGCTTCACCAGGACTGTGGCCACCATGAGCAGGCCCGAGTACCTGCCCCCCAAACCCACCACGGCGGCGGCGGCGGCGGCGACAGAACCCCCTTTTTTCCAGTAGTGGCCCTTGGCTCTGCTCGGCTCCGCGCCCGCACCGGGGAGGAGCAGCAGGACCTGCTGCCCTGCCAGCATTCCTTGGATTGCTGGGCAGCCCCTGCGTCCCCTCCTGTGCCCGCCTCCGGGGGCTCTCCGCTGGAATGCCGCTCCAGCCCGGAGTGCTGCTCCAAGCAGCCGCCTCTGCATCCTGCTGCCAAACTCTCCATGGAAACCAGAGCTGGGAAAGCCGCGGGGAGGGTTCCAGGACTGTTTCCCTCCTGTGTGTGTGTGTCGCTGCCTTGGCTAGAGACCAGGTGGCAGCGGGTGCAGTTCCTCGAGCTCCCCGAGGGAATAAAGGGCTATTTTTTCTTTTTTTTTGGCAAATTGAAGGATCTACGTGATTATTCCTACGAGGAGCCGGGATTGGGAGGGTAAAGACATGGCTGTATAAACAGGTGAAAAACATACTTATTCCCCACGCTGCAGAGGTTTCAGTTGTGTTATGCAGCGTGAGAGGTGTAACTGCTGCCTCCTGCTGACAGAACGCGGATCCATCCCTGCTGCCTTCCTTCCCCGTGTTAACCACCCTGATGAGCTCTTCAAGCAGCCATTCTACTCGTTTTTCCCAAGAAGATGCTTAAAAATCACTCATCCCCACCTGGAAGGCCGTTCTGCACCCAGGGGTGGGCTCTGTGAGGCACAGACACAGCACCACCCTGACCCTCGAGTTTCTGCATCAGCAAACTTCACTCAGAACCTCTCACCGTGGCCAAAAAAAGTTCCACCTTTCGACAGCCTTACCCTCCTAATCTTCAAATGTGTCAGTATTAAGACACAGGCCAGTGGCTGACACTCTACTTTTATTTAAAGCAGTGATCTGACAGTGATTTAACAGAGTCTTCGTGCTGAAGGCGGCTCACAATGAATATTTTCTATTCAGACACGGATCTAAGACAGTATTGTATGCGAGTGCCATTATGTGTATGTATTAAATTATGTTTTCTACAATGCAAGGTGTCAGTCTGTAGCAACTACCCCCCGTTATCCCTTTTTTACTTGCAGTTGGAGGTGTTCCCTCAGCAGTCCAGCTGCATCCCCGGGTCATGGTGGCACGGCTGTGCTCTGCTCCATCCCGGTGCTGTGCCATCCTGCACGTTTATCCTGCAAATTCACTCCTCCCACCGTCGGGGGGGGGTTGTCCCAGGTGAGACTTCCCTCTGTGTTCACCTGATTCGACCTGGAAAACGAGAAGCTGCAGAGCCTGCTCATCTCTCCCTCCTTCCCAGCTGGTGACAGATGCTTCCAGCCTCCCTTTCCAGAAAAAAAACAATCTCATTTGGAATAGAAAAGGCCGAAGCAACGGCAGAAATAGCTCAGGGGTGTTGCTGTGTGGAATTCCTGGGGAAAGCTGCTGCGTGTGCTCTGCCTGCACCTCCCCTGGGGTTCAGCTGCAGGCTGCTGTTACCTGTGCCAGCCACAGGAACGCTCCAGGCCCTGGAAAATCTGCCAAAGCCACTGGGCTTGACAGGGATTCTCACTTGTCTCATCCCACCCGCTCTTCATATCTTCACAGCACCAAACTGAGTGAGTTCCTGGAAAAAAAGTAACTCACCGAGGCTTCAGGCAGAGAAGGCACTTCCATTTTTCCTCTCCCTTCCATTTGGGACCAAGCCCAGCAAACAGGCACTGGGAGGGATGAAGTGCTTTGTCATTGCATCTTCATTAGCACTCGGCTCCCACTGAGGAGACCCAAGGACAGGGCAGAGGGAAATAACATTTGCAGCCTCATAAAATCTACTGTTACAGTGGAAAACAGTTCCAACTGTTCCCAGTGGTCTGTCCCCTCACGGGGGTTGTCCCTTTGCACATCCCCAGCCCACCAAGGACTTGGAAATAAAGGCTGAAGGGTTTAGGTAACACACAGCTGAACCTCTCCCTCCTTATGGTCAAAGGAAGGGAAAACAGGGCCCTGAACAGCAGCATTTGGCCATGGGGACATTCAGGGTGTCCCACTGGTCACACCATCAGTCCCTTTCCCAAAAAAACCCAAACTGCTTAAAAGAAAGGAAAGAAGCAAAAAAAAAAAAAAAAAAAGAAAAAAAGCCTTGAGAATATTCAACATTTATTAGAAGTGCAATAAAAATAAACAGTTCTCCTGCCCCTGGGACAAGGGAGCAGAAAGACCAGCCAGGAATTACAGCCAAGGTGTGTCACTGTGCATTTGTTCAACCCTTTGGCTCAGCACTAACACCCCAACCATGCAGAGTCCTTCCCATTCCAGGGATGCAGGAGGAGACTGGGACATCAGCCCTGTGCCTGCTCTGGGGGTTCAGCACTGGCTCTGGGACCCAAAACTGCTCTGGGGGTTCAGGTATTTTACCCTCAGACCCAAAACTGCTCTGGGGGTTCAGGCACTGACCCTAAGACCTAAAACTGTTCTGGGGGTTCAGGCATTTTACCCTCAGACCCAAAACTGCTCTGGAGGTTCAGGCACTGACCCTCAGACCCAAAACTGCTTTGGGGGTCCAGCACTGGCTCTGGGACCCAAAACTGCTCTGGGGGTTCAGACACTGACCCTAAGACCTAAAACTGTTCTGGGGGTTCAGGCATTTTACCCCCAGACCCAAAACTGCTCTGGGGGTTCAGGCACTGACCCTCAGACCCTAAACTGCTCTGGAGGTTCAGGCACTTTGTCCTCAGACCTAAAACTGCTCTGGGGGTTCAGGCATTTTACCCCCAGACCCAAAACTGCTCTGGGGGTTCAGGCACTTTGTCCTCAGACCTAAAACTGCTCTGGGGGTTCAGGCACTGGCCCTCAGACCCAAGGCTCCCCCCAGAACACACTTCCAGGCTGAGGGATCCTGCAGGAAGGGTTTCTTTGGCAGGACTTGGGGCTGGAACTGCGGGAAGCACTAAGACTTAAGAGAGCTGGGACACTCCACTCTCCAACAGCCACACTCGTTTCCTGGCACTGCTCAGGTCACAAACACACCTACAACAGCCCTACTCGGCAGAAACAACACTTGCCTTGTCACAGAGGCGTGGAAGGGGGTGGCAAAAAGGTCGTGGCAGAGCTGCATCGAGCTTAGAGGGGGCCCAGCTCCAGAATTCCAGCTCGGATCATCCCCCCAGGCTGCTCTCAGCAGGGGTGGCTGAAAGCCCGGTGCCCAGAGCTGTGTCCCTGCTCCTCAGCACCCAGGGGGGACCTCCCTGAGCCCAGCCTTCAGGATGGAGGTGCCCCTCTGTGCCCCTCAACTCCGCTGGAGAACTGGGAAGAGCAGTTTGGAGGCTGCACACGGGGCAGGGATCATTCCATGTGCTCTGGCAGCGTTGCATAGGAAATCTGGGAACTGCTAGAGCCAAAAGGAGGTGTGAGGAGAGGCATCAGCTGGGTCCAGGCAGTGCTCTCCACTTCTCACCCTCACAGGCGAAGTCACTCCAGGATTTAGGCTTCAAACCACTTTGTAGCTTAGAAATGGGTTGACCCAATGAAAACCTGACAGTGCTAAGGTTTCACTGAAGCCCTGAGTGGGCAAAGACCCCGGGAAAGCTTCGAGCAAAGAGTTGTTTCCGTTCCTTTTGCGTGTAAAAAATAAGAAGTTTAAATTAAAACAGTAAAAAAAAAAAAAAAAAGGCAAAAAAACCAAAACAACCCTGAAGCTGAGCCTTGATGCCCTAATGAATGTCCAGAGGCACTTTCACATAAATATCAACCTACTGATGCAGTGGGAGGGTGGGAGGAGATCCTTCTCATGAATAAGTTAGGATAAGGCATGTTCTTAGGTGCAGGTTCTCGGGCAGCTTCTCCCCTCCTCTCCAAATCCAAGGTGCTTGGGGGAAGGCAAGACAGGCAAACAAAACTGTCCTCAGTCGCAGAACTTGGGGAGGGTGGACGTAAACACTGGAAATCCTGCATTCCAAGAGGAGAAGGGAAGAAGGGTGGCAGGTTTACAGCTGGGAGAAAATAAGGTTACAGAGCTGAGATAGTCCCACAGTTCCCTGATAGAACAGCCTGAAAAGCTGCTATTAATTGATAATGAATATTGAGAATATTGGGATTTCCCCCCTCCCTGGGAACATCATAAACGTGTTTCTCTGTTGAGATCTCCCACCCCCCCCTTTCTCCCACGGCCACATCTTTAAGCTCCCCCAAATTCCACCCCACATTTGCAGGCAGAGCCTCTGAGACGTGCCCAGGAAACAAATTGTGGGAGGCTTGAAAATTGGATTTTTGGGGGAGTCTCAAACCACGACGCTGAGCTGCAGAGGAGCTGCTCAGACGTGGCACAAACCAGCGTGGTGACACTCTGGGGTGACCCCAGGGGGACATTCCTACCTGTGGAGCCTCCACACAGCTCCTCTATCGCCCTGAATTACTCATCCCTGAAACCTTTGGGCTTTTGATGTTGAGGTTCTCGTAGAGGACGGAAGCTGACTCCTCATCCACCCTGTCAGGAAACAGAGCCCTGTCATTAACAGCCTCACCACTCTGGATCTTTGCCCAGGGGCTGCTGGCCAGTGGGAATGGCCCAGCCAAGCTCCCTTTTGCCCTCCCCACTGTTCTCATTCCCTGTTTTCTCCCCCTCTGGCTGGGCCACCCCTCCTTGGTTCAAATGCTTGGGAGTGGAGCCTATAAATGACACGTGTCCCCCCCCCTCACCTTCAACCATAATCCCTCTCCAGCACTCACAGGTGTCCCATTACTTGGGGCAAGGGCAAAAACATAATTTGGGGTAATTTATCTCTGCTTATGTAAGGAATTCATGCTCCTTAACCCATGCTCCCTCTCCACACGGACTCAAATCCACCTCTCTCTGCTCTCGTCTCATCTTCCTTCAGATTAAAGTGGCAGTGGCACAGTTCCCCTCTCCAGCTGATTCTCCAGAGCCAAGGATAACAGGACACTACTCTCTAAAGGAGTATTTATATATATATATATATCTTTATATATATAAAGATCTTATTTCCTCCTCCCCTTTCCAAGAGTGCAGCAAACCAGCAAGGTGGTGCTACCCCTGCTGCTGA